CTTTTCTTTTTTTTTCCTTTTCTATTATGCTTTTGTCCAGTCGACGACATATAAAAGGAAAAAAAGCTGATTTGTTTTATTTTTTAATGGAAAATAATAATTTTATTTTTAATGAATCGTTTTGTTTTTATTTGATGGTACATTTTTGTTAGCACTACTAAGCTCCGTTTATCCTAAAATTTTAGCCAAATTCTATTCAATATATTTTAAGATCCCTAGTAAAATTTTAGCTCAATTTGATAATCGAATTAAAAATTACGTCCAATAACATAAAATTAGTCAAATTATAATTTTTCATCAAATTTATGAATTTCTTTAAAAATTCTGAAATTTTAATCTAAACTAAACATTATATTAAAAAGTTACACATAAATTTTTAAATAACTCAATTGAGAATTATAATTTTTTTATATATAAAACTAATTAATAAAATATTAACCTGAACTAAGTCCCATCCAATCACCTAGCATGCCTCCCCTCTCGGCAGGGGCAGAGCCTTGTAGAACGCTATGGTGGGCTATAGCCTAGATCAAAAATTAATTATAAAAAATTTAATAAATCATTTATTCATTGTTTTTTATGAAAACAGAAGAGAAAGAAATGTCCGTAGTGTAAAGTAGCCTTTATTTACGCCTACTTCGTAAAGGTAAGGGTGTTATAGCAGGCAGTGAGAAATCTTGAATCGAGGTTTTCAAGATTGTCTTAGTTAGTATGTGATACCTTTCCAGTGCTCAAGTTAGATACCTTGTTAAATGATTGGCTGAATACCTTATTAAATACCTTGTTTTAATTTGTGTAGAGTAGAAGAAAGCGTGATCAAATTGACAATTTTTCTTTCATGTTTTTTTTAATGAAACGTTCTGTAACATGTTTTTTTTTTTTTTTAAATCATTTCAAACCAAGCTAATATTAATTTGAGTTGAGCTTGAACAAGCCAAGCTTATATATAACAACTATAACTGATGTTACAGGACATGACTAAAAATAAACATATGAAAAAACATAATACGATAGCTGTGGGGTTCGAATTCAGAATCATGAAAAGACATGAAATAAACACATGAAAAAATAATTTACTAGTTATTTCAAAGTTAAATTTTTCAAATCTCCTCGTAGTCTACATGATTATTTTATCTTTATATATTCTCAATTTTCATTTCATGAATATTGTTCATGTCAGCAACAATGATGAATCATAGTTTATCAGCATTATCATTATAATATATTTAACTCAACAATACATTTTCAGTTGGAATAATTAAATTCTAGATTTAGTGATTAGACAGTGAAATTTCTTGTATTTAACTTTGTTTTATAACCAAAGAACACCTTTAAATCATTTAAAGCCGATGCTATTTATAAGCTTGCTGATAAATTTTATTATGAAAATTTCAATGAACAAGAAATGTATTATTTGAGATCTCAACTAGAGCATTATCAGATTGATGTGATTCATCATGAGAGCTTTCTAAATATGTTTACTATTTCCGAATTATGTTGAGGATTAACTGAAATAAATAAGTCACAACACTATCATTTGATTGATAGGTTAATTTATTTTGTTTTGATTTTGCATGTTTTCGCTGCCACTACAGAGAGAACATTTTCAGCTATGAAACATGTTAAAACTATACTTCGCAATAAAATGAAAGAAGAATTCTTAATGGATTCTATGATGATGTATATTAAACGAGAGCTTGTTGAAGATATTGATTTAGATTCGATTATAGATGAATTTTATTCTACAAAACATCGAAATGTACAATTTTAATAGTGTGATTTATTTTTATTTTTATTTTTATGTACTTTAAATTTTATTTTATTTTTTATATTTTGTGTTATGTATTTGAATTAAAACTTTATTATTAACTTGATAAGTTTATAAATACAAATTAATGATTGATATTAAAAAATAATTTAAAAAATAATTTATATATATTTATATTGTAGCCCTAGGATTAAAAAAATTTGTGATTCCGCCCTTGCCTCTCGGTATTGTCATAAGGTTGATTCCATAATATAATAATTTAGATTATTAACCATGTAAAACTCCAGACACAAAATTTAGCTGTAAGAGTGATGGATGATGCGATAACACATGGGAGATGGATAATTGAAGACCATTTCCAGCATAATATATGATAGCTTGGAGGCTGAGCTGTGCTTGCCAACCTGTGATGTTGGTCCCAACATGGGAGATGGATAATTGAAGAACATTTCCAGCATAATATATGATAGCTTGGAGGCTGAGCTGTGCTTGCCAACATGTGATGTTGGTCCCAATTTCCATGGCTAGGAAGTTTAAGGTCGGGATTTGAGATTGGCATACCATCAATGTATCATCGATGTTAGTTACATGTGCACATGTCATAGTAGAAAGAGTTGAGATTGGCATATGTACCAATGTCAATGTATCATAGATGTTACATGTGTACATGTCATTGTAGCATATACACCATCAATGTATCATGAATGTATACATGTCAAGGTAGAAAGAGCTGAGATTTGACCTCTTAATAGCTTCACATGTACCTTCACGAGCCACAAGGATATGTGCTCGGGGTGGCGGTTGGCCATTGGAACAAGGAAGGCAGCATCTACTTTTCTCAAGTTTAATAACAATAAATCATTTTATTAATTAAAAGAAGCGTAAAAGATCGGTCAATATTCCAGCGTGCATTGATTAAAAATGATTTAACAATAAATCATTTTTGATCAAGTCAAAATTCAAAGCAAAAGCAAGACTTTACCTAAACTTTCCATGGCACATAATTTTTTTACATACGCATGAGTATTTCTACATGAACCAGCACTACTTTTTATGCTAATGGTATAGCCACTTGCCTATATTTTTCACCAATAATACACCACACAGCACCCACAATATGATACATTAACCATAACAATGATTAGCCTAGGGTTACCTCCTATATAAAAGGCAGGCACGTGTAACGCCAGCTATCAATATCAGCCCCGATCTTTTCGCTAATAATTAATATGTCTCTAATCTATCTCCTTGAAAAAATATCGAGGGCTGGGTATGGATAAAAATACACCTAGTTACCCAGGCACGAGGGAAGGTGATTCTAGTCAGACCGTACAGTCGTCGTACAAAGCCAGCTAGGCCATACCATACACACAGATACACATTGCCTACTTCATTTTATTTTTTATTTTCATGCACATTAATTATTCCCTCTTTATAAAATTAATTTGAAGTAAAAAAATAAAAATAAAAAAAAATTTAAATTTTTGAAAAACCGTAAAAACAAACATGGCTAAATTTAATAAATTATGAGTAGAAGTGAAATATTACATGTATATTATAGGTCCCAAATTAAGAACGTCTAGCTCCCACATGAATAAAGCGTACGAGGTTGAGAGTCTAAGAATAATACTAAAGGCATAGAAGTTATAGCTTCGAGCTAGGATCCTATAGTATAGCCATGTTTGCAGTAGGTGTAGAGAATTCTAGAGTGGATAAGCTTTTAATGTCCTGTATACTTAATTTGTAGAGAATTGAGATATTTTACCCCATTTATGGAAAACACGGTTTCAGAAATCCAACTAAAGTCTTTTCTTCTTCCGTAAACAAGTAAAACTAATTCCATATTAATACATAATCTGATGACTATTGCTTTTTTCTTTTCTCAAAATGGCTGGTTTAGGTAAAGTATAGCACATCTGAGCACCAAAACCCACTCAACTCGAAAGGGATGGTCATATATAGGCAGACCTCTGTGAAGAAATTATCGGTAAATTTCCTGCCTGTGATCATATAACTGGTCAAAATCTGGATTTCATTGGGGTTGAAGTGAACTTAGAGTTGAAGCATCTACCAGAAAGTCAACTGATTTTTGAGTGGTGTTAGTGTCTTGAACCACCTGTTGGGAAGCACAAATATAGGGCGCGTTTGCCACCATGCATCGAGGCATCAAATTAATTGTACTGGAACTTTGCCTTTGTGCGTACACATTGCCAGGCAAAGGGCCTTAATGAAAGGATCTTAGCGTTTCAATAATCAATTGAAGTACATATAGTCATTGAAAATACTCGTTCTTCTAATAAACAATGATCTTCCTCCTCCCCTTCTCCACTAATCTAGATTAAATAGGAAAAAAAAAACCCTGCAGGGTGTGGAATGGAACGGGGAGTTAAATGTGAAAGCTTTCGGTTACATGGTCCTTAATTATGGATTCAGAAGGAATTGAAATCAACTCATGTTTCTTGATTTGTATGTATGGATGTATGTATGTATGTATGTTTCTGTGTCATAAGAAGGTTCAAAGACACCTTCATTAACGTGCAGTACTGTACAATCTGATATAGTTTAAAATAAGAATTAAAACATAAAAATTGCATTGTCTGAACTTATACCATGATACAAACTTATAGCATCATGAGTTATTGCATTCAAAATAGAATAGCATTGTAAGTTTTGGGTAAGGCAAAAGAGAAGAACTCTTGATTCCTAATTCTTTTCTTTGATTTTTTTGAAATTATGCTTCTTGTAGTCAGTTTCTAGCACACAAGATATAGAGAAGTAGCATCACACCAATCCATTAATTATGCATGTATTAACTTGTTCCCTATAGGAATTTCATTGAATCTTCACGGCCTATAACAACAGCAAAAATATATATATCATTAATGCTTTCTTCTTAATCTATCAATTTTTAGCCTATTGCACGATTCATATACTTATGTACGATCAACGCCATAGCTTACAGTATTGTTTTCTATCGTTGCGTTGTGTTTTAACCATCTTGCAGAAAACAATAAGAAGCTGAGTGCTGACAAGCACTTTAACAACAATGATGGAGGAGAAGAAAAAGGGTAGAGCTCAATGCTAAGGTCCATTATCATTCCAATAATAGATAGTAACAGTACTGCAGGCCATTACTTGGTTATTGCATATACGAACGCAACTTGTGCCAAGAATTCTAAATTATTCCCACCTTATATAAAGGGATATTGATATCTTCATGCTGTTTGATGGGGTTTTTAGTGCTGTAAATGGAAAAGGTAATGAATGTTTTATGACTACAGGCATTTTGATTAGTATACACACCAAGAGGAAAACAAAGTTTTCAAGTAAAAATACTAGATAGCTACTGCAAGAAAATAAGTGCTGGAGAAGAACCAAGGCAAGGCTATATATCCATGCATGTTTCTCCTATCCTCTCGGCACTTGCTCCCTGATAATTTGACTTAATTTTATGATGCGTAAAGGATTGCTATTTTGCAGCCATGATGATTGAAGCAGTAGAAAAGGAAGAGATTGAAAGAGAAGGGATGGAGTTAGAGCCACAAGATGAATCAGAAGGTTCAAGGACATGGACAAAGCAGGTCACAGTAAGGGGAATCATAGTGAGTATTCTTATTGGAGCCATCTACAGCATCATTGCCATGAAGCTAAACCTCACAACTGGGATGATTCCAAATTTCAATGTCTCTGCTGCTCTTCTTGCTTTTGTGTTTGTTCAAACCTGGACAAAAGTTCTTCAAAAGGCAGGATTTGTCGTCAGACCCTTCACTCGGCAAGAAAATACAATGATACAAACTTGCGCAGTTGCATGTTATAGTATTGCCATTGGAGGTTTGATCAGTTTTCGATACTTAAAATAATCTTCCTATTACTCTTGACAAATTTGAGCTTCTTCTCACATGGTTTCCGTGTTTTGGGCAATAGGTGGACTTTCTTCTTATCTGTTGGGATTAGACAGGAACACATACGAGTTGTCAGGGGGGTTGAAAACTGAAGGAAATTCTTCTAGTGGTTTAAAGGAACCTGAATTTGGCTGGATGGTTGGATACCTTTTCCTAGTTTGCTTTGTTGGTCTTTTTGTGTTAATTCCACTTAGAAAGGTAATAGAAGTTTCCATAATCCTTCCATGCATCTCAAATTATCAAAAAAAGATTACTTTTCTTTTAAAAAATTATAATCTTTGTGTTTATTAGCCTGAGATATTCTGATATCAGGAGTCTGTATATTTCTCTTTGGAATCATCGTGAGTAGTATTATCATCATGTCGCTTGTAAAACTCTTAAAGGTGTGTTTCGGCCTTTTGGCTTACAGATCCTGATAGTAGACATGAAGTTAACTTATCCAAGTGGCTTGGCAACGGCAGTTCTCATCAATGGTTTCCATAACCGAGGAGATAAGATGGCAAAGTATATACATGAAGTCTAATTTTTTGCTTTGAGAAAACAACTTTCTTGAAAAAGAAAGTATGAATCATGATTGGGTTGTTATTACAGGAAACAAGTTCAAGGGTTCATGAAGTACTTTTCAATCAGCTTCTTATGGGCATTTTTCCAGTGGTTTTTTACGGGGAAAGATGGATATTGTGGATTCGCACATTTCCCTACTTTTGGAATGGAAGCATGGAAGCATACGTATGTACTCGTATTTCCTCTCTCTATATCTCCAATTATCTGCTTCATTTCTCCCAAATTAAATGTTACTGGTCATTTCTTTTTGGTTATTGGGCTTTTGTAGATTTTTCTTTGATTTTAGCACCACTTTGGTTGGAGCTGGAATGATCGTTCCCTATCTTGTAAACGTGTCCTTACTTCTTGGAGCTGTGCTCTCATATGGGATTATGTGGCCACTAATACGTCAACTTAAGGGAGAATGGTATCCAGCTTCTATAGATGAATCCAGCATGAAGAGCTTAAATGGTTACAAGGTCAGAACACGATATACTAGGGCTTTTAGCTTTCTAAAATTCATAATAGGATTCTAATATATGGCTATAATTTGACAGGTTTTCTTAGCAGTTGCTCTCATCCTAGGAGATGGGCTCTACTTTTTTGTTAAGATAATGGGTATTACAATCAGCAATGTTCGTCGCAGATTAAAGAACAAGAATATCAGTCCCGGTAAATTGGACATCCTATGCAGTTTTTTCCTGTTTATACCGAAATGCTGCTAAAATAATATTACAGCTTCAGTTGCGCTACTTCTTAACTGTACTTCTTTCCTAGCAGTTCATTACCAGAAGAAGCTCTTTGATGAACAAAAACAAAATAAATTCTTCCTCGGAGAGACCATACCTTCATGGCTAGGCATCATTGGATATGTAATCTTCTCTGTTATCTCCATAATTGCGGTGCCAATCATATTCCCCCAGCTTAAGTGGTACTATGTTGTCATGTCGTATGTTCTTGCTCCATCCTTAGCATTTTGCAATGCTTACGGAGCTGGCCTTACCGATATAAACATGGCGTATAATTACGGGAAAGCTGCCCTCTTTGTGCTAGCTGCAATATCCGGGAGAGAAAATGGAGTGGTGGCAGCACTTGTCGGAGGCGGCCTTGTCAAATCTGTTATTTCTGTTTCTTGCATCCTGATTCAGGATTTCAAAACAGCACATTTGACTTTCACCTCCCCAAGAGCAATGTTTTTGAACCAAGTTATTGGCACCGCAATCGGCTGCGTGGTGGCTCCTGGTAGCTTCTTCCTGTTCTACAAGGCATTTGATGTTGGAAATCCTTCCGGAGACTTTAAGGCTCCTCATGCCTTAATTTTCAGGAACATGGCAATCATAGGTGTTGAGGGTTTCTCAGCTCTGCCCCAATATTGCTTGCAGCTCTGCTATGGCTTCTTTGCTTTTGCAATCGCAGTTAACCTAGTGAGAGATTTTTCGCCGCGGAAGATCGGACAATGGGTGCCTCTTCCATTGGTCATGGCCGTGCCATTTGTCATTGGAGCTTCCTTTGCCATTGATATGTGTGTTGGAAGTTTGATCGTTTTCGTATGGCATAAACGAAACACCAGCAAGGCCGAGTTCATGATCCCTGCTGTTGCCTCAGGATTAATCTGTGGAGAAGGGCTGTGGACTCTTCCAGCTGCTATCCTTGCTTTGGCCAAGATAAAGCCGCCCATCTGCATGAACTTCGTGGCTTCCTAGAAAAACTTCCTCGACACAAAGATTCAAGAACAGCAACAGAGAGTTAAATATGTAATTTAATTTGTCTAAGCTATTCAGGAATATAATGCTTCGACTAAAATTCTATCATACGCCAGTAGAAAGTATTTGAATGACCGAATTCAAATTTCGACCGTCCACTTCAGAAATAATACTGTATTTTAGGATGAAACTAGCCGGCACGCAAGCATGATGCTGCGGGTCTATTTTCAAAATCTATCTTTATGGTAATTATAATAAATATTCATAAGAGTTTTAATAATTTAAATTTTAGGGGAAAAATATATTTTTTTAGTTAAAGCTTCCTTTCTTTATTTATATATTCTTTCTTGTTTTGGCAACAACTTGTCTATTTTATTAATAGCATGGTTTTTCATTAAGAAATTTATCATGGTTTGTACATTTATCATGGTTTGTACGGCAAGTTTTAATAAATAAAAAAACCATGTTTTGATAATAAGATTGTATATGAAAATAAAGAAATAATCAATTTGAAGAAATTATATAAAAATTCCACACTAAAATAATAACAAAATAAATATTTTATTCTCATTACATATTCATGGATAATTTTTCAAAATTGCATATTAGGTTCATATAATAATTCCTAATATTACTTATAAAAACTCTAATCTTATTTGAAAAGCATGATATTGCAGGATGACTTCTAAAATATTATTGTAAGTATTGCATTTAAGGATAATTTTGTTTTGAAATAAATAAAACAAAAGGCTTGAAAGATCAGGTATATGTCTTGTATTAAAAAAAGTCAACCATACCAAGCATGAAAGGTTAGGCTTGCATGTTTAGAGAATATATTACTTTTCAAATAATTTTTTATATTAAATTTTATATTTATAATTTTTTTATATATTTTAAAAATTAATTTTAATATTAGTATATTAAAACGATTTAAAACATACAAAATACATTAAATTTTAATAAAAAAATTAATTTTTTTAAGAATACAGTTTACACCATGTTCCCAACGGTGCTAGAAAAAAGCCAGCTAATTCTTTTTTTAAAAGAAAAGAAAAAAACATGCGGCAGTCACGTTTCCATATTAATAATTACAGACAACTACAATATAGTAAAAAAAATAAGAAGAAAAGGAAGAAGCAGCAGCAGCAGCAATGCATGCACCGAATTGGAGTTCATGGGTTGCACAAGCTTCAATGCAGTGCTGCGTTCCGGTAAAAAAATATAGCTTCCTAATTACACAACAAATTACAATCCTCTGGCTAATCGGAAATTGTAATTCTGGGAAATGATGCTTTAATTTGCTTACTGCAGAATTTAAACAAGTAAAACTAAAATTGGTGGTAAATTAAATCATCTACTAGAAATTATTAAAGGCAAAAGAGGACCAAGTAAATATTAAATCCAGCCACTGGGAACTGATGGAAAATATTTAAAGGCGAGTTTGGCTATCCTCAGTGAGCAAGAAATTATTAAAGGAAAAAAAAAGGACCAGGTCCTGGTTCATCCCAATTCCCAGTATAAGAATTTTGAGTCAGAATCGTTGCATGAAATCGCAGTGCTCGATCAAAACCTAAAAGTGACAATACTGAAACTGGTACCGCCAGCGTAAACGCCCTACAGGAGCATGTTTTTTTGGCTGGCTTTTATATGTGTTTGTGTTTTCTAAATTTTTTAATTATTTTTTATTATATTTTTAAATTGTTTTAATATGTTGATGTTAAAAATAAATTTTTTAAAAATAAAAAAATATTATTTTAATGTATTTTTAAATAAAAAATATTTTAAAAAATAATAATTATCATAGTTTCAAATACCACCTAAGATTAGTATTGTATCATTAGCTCAATGCAGCTTGAATTAATTTTTTTAATATAATAATTTTTTAAGTATTTTTAATGTTTTTCTTGTAGAAAAATTCTTTAATTGTATGGGAATTAACTTGATGTGACTCAGTTAACTTAGCGGGTTTAAAAACAACCTGAATAATCAATAAAAACATAATTTCACTCAAAATAAATATTCAAAATGAGATTTTTTTTTAATAAATATTGATATAATAACATATTGAATCAATTTGGGTCAACTCAAGTTAACCTATCATTCCGCAACCTGGGTTATAAGATCATAATAATCTTGTAAAAAACAAATCAAAATAAGTTATGAAACATATTTTTTAATAAACTCAATATTGAAAGATAAAAATAATAAAATAAAATAAAATGACCTTAGTCAACTTAAGTTAACTTACTAAACCCACAACTCGGATCATGCATGAGATCAAGATTACTCAATAGAAAATTTAATTTTTAATCAATCTAGTGTTAAAATAAAAAATTGAAAAAAGATTTGATTAAAAAAAACTCGAGTCAACTTATTAAACTTGCAACATAAATAATGAGATAAAAATAATCTCATATAAAGCAAACCAAAACTAATAACAAAGCCAAAACTGTAACCTAAGTAAAGAGATAAGGATAATCTCATATAAAGCAAACCGAAACAAATGACAAAGCCTAATTGTCAATCAACTCAATCTTAAATGATGAAATTGAAAGAAAAAAAATCAATTAGAAAAAGGAAAAAAACTCAAGTCTACTGAATTAACTCATCAAACTTGCGGTTCAGGTCATAAAACTAAGATAGTCTCATAAAAAAATTGAATAACAATTATGAATTCAATCCCCAATAAACTTAATATTAAAGGATATAATTAAAATTAAAAAATTGGTTTAAAAAAAAACACCAAAAAATGACTTAAATCAATTCAGGTTAATTAACTAAACCTGTGATCCAAGTCATAAAACGAGTATAACCTTATAGAAAGTAAACAAAAAAAAACTATAAAGCCTAATTCTCAACCAACTCATTGCTAAATGATGAATTTTAAAAAAATCAACTAGAAAAAAAGAAAAACTCGAGTTAATTAAGTCAATCCGTTAAACTCATAGTCTGGATCATAAAATTATGATAACTTCATAAAAAATAAATTAAAAAAATAATATAATTCATTTCTCAATAAATCTAATGTTGAATAATAAAAATAAAATAATAAAAAAAATATTATCATATTGAATATATTTTGTGAGGAGATACAATAAAATCCTCATCTCTTTTAGTTTTTTTAATAAATTAGTGACTCGCAAGCAAAATGTTTTTCAATATTAAAGAAAAATGCTAAGAAAAAGAAATTTGAGATTGTTCAATTAGTAATTTAAATGACATGATTAAAAAACATATGATAATAATAATAAATACATAAATAAAAAACATGACAATTAAAAAAAATATAAAAAAACTCAATCTAAATCAATATAGAATGTAAAACAACTCAATGATAAAAGATAAAATACAAAAATAAAAAAAAGGATAAAAAGAACTTGATCTGAGCTAACGTGTATCATAAAATAATTTAATGATAAAAAATAAAGATAATAAAAAATAAAATAAAAAAATATTATTAGATCAAGTTAACTTATAACTAATTATATTTTATTAGTTACTTTATAGGAATTATTGTTTTTGGCACAGGACTCATTTTAAATAAACAAAGATACAACTAAAAATTAAAAAAAAATTAAATAGAAATATTCTTACCAATTTTATCACTTTTAATGGTATATAAATATTATAGTTTTTTTATGTTTTTTTATAAACAATTAATAGAATATGAGAATATTTTTCAATAACGTCTGGCCAGGCTATGGGAATCTGTTCGTTTCTTTGCCTTAAAACCTAAATTCGAAGACAGCTCAAAATGTGTCATTATTATAAATCTGGGCTTTTAAATATATCATGTTGGCCCAGCCAAAAAGTGACCTGGGGAAGCTTGAACGTTACAACCCCCTTTCATTAAAATCCCTTTACTTCTTCTCTACAGAAAGCATCGGAATCCTCCAGTTCATTCATAACCAACAAAGAAGACTAGGGAGACCCCGCCGCAATATAGCGGTATATAAAGCCCTCAATTCCCATTCCCTTTCCTCTGGTGCAAAAAACTGTCTCTCTCCTCTCTAAAAACAGCGGCAAGATATATAATTTAGAAGTGAAAGATGGGTATGGTCGTGGTGATCTCTTTGCCTTTGATAATCTTTTGCCTGCTTCTTGGTTTTGGATGTTACTACTTGGGGAGGCACAAGGGAAGACAAGATACCCATACAAATGCTCAGGTATTTGGAGATCCTATTCCACCACCTGGGTTTGCTAGTACGCCACCTCCTCCACCTCATACCAAGCCAGACAACTCGCACAGTGTTTAGGCTGACTTTTTTTTTTTTTTTTTGGTTTTGATTTGTTTTCCACTGTATTATATGGGGGTATAGAGAGTGATTGTTTATGCTGTTGAGATGTATGGTGTGGTTTTTAGCATTATTTCGTGTGTGCATTTTGAGGTGAAAAATTGGCCCAATTGAACTGTGTAATATACGGGTTGGCTGTTGTATATTGTTTTTCTCTGCTCATTTTGTTTCACAAAGTGCTTGCCACCATCCCAAATGACTCTCTTTCTTTCATGCTAGCAAGGGAGATTGGGAAGAGTTTTAAGAAGCCCTGGGGGAAACAAGACATTTTAAAATAACCATGTAAAGAAAACTATGAGTCAGTCTGTGTATTCTGTAACTTATCTCTAAATCTGAGGAATCTTTATCATGTAAGCTCCTATAACAGTTGAACTGGATCAGTCAATTCAAATACTTTGAACCTATCTGTTAGTTTACAATGGATACCACCAATTCTTTTGTTGCATTTGGTTAGAATCCTCCCATTTCCTTTGGTTAGAACCCCTCACAACCCCAAAATCCTTTCCAGATGCACCATGTCAAGATGGCTGCCTAATCAATGTTGCATTTTGGCTGCAGAAGCCAGCAGGATGGACTTACATCATTTGTTCAGTACTCCCAATAATATTATCATCCTTTCTCAGGCTGATTACTAAACATAATAAGCCATTCCTACTTCAATCAAAGATGTACGAGAAACCCCTAGTGCTGTGGATGGGCTTCGACAGTTCTGTCTCAAGAGACCATGTGCAATGTTAATGACAAATTTCTTCACAAGTGATGATGTTTCCCTCACCAAGACAGAGTATTTCCCATCATATATGCCATACCAGCTTCCCTGGCACCCTCCAGTCCCACTTCACACGCCACAAAATCTTAAAAATCTTACTCTTTTGCGTCTAGTCTCTGACCCAGCCCCAGACCCATTCTCAAGTCCCGCATCCCGTGCTAACATCATCCAGTACATGTTTGATTCCTGACAAAGTAGAGTCATTTCATTCCCGAGTCTCTAGCATCACCATCACTCTGGTGCCGCTAGAACTCTGCCACAGTTTCAATCAGGCTAGTCTCAAAAGCATGACTGTTCTTCCTTCCTTCGCAACCTGACAATGCACAGGTGGAGACGGAACTCTGGGGGGACCAATCCGGCTTACAATAAATCGCTGATTGGCAGAAAACTCTTGGAATTGTCAGGTACTGAAATGTTACAATTATGAGGACATGATGGAAGGCGGGAACGTTGGTGACAAAATGCGAAAACATTGGTGGGATCTCTGACAGCACATTTGTATAGACTAGGCCAACACCACGAACACGATTTATACCAATGTTTGTGCCCAGACAAAGAAGCATATCCAAAGACGTTCTGTTATGTGACTCGAATGATTGTTTTTGTAACGTAACATAATGCCAGATGTACATCACAGACAAAACTATCAGGGAGAAAATGAGAGGGAGCCAGCTTCCTTTGGCCTCTGGCAGGCGGGAAGAAGACAAGTAGAGCAATCCAAAAACAATTACAAAAGTAAAGGCTTCCAGAATAAACCCCCGCTTCCACAGCGTAACAATGACAAGAAACATCAAGCAGGTGGTAACAAACGTTACAATGATAACTGCAAGACCTGGTACAAAGAGATAAACTTATCAAATCGCTAACTTAATGGGAGAGGGAGGGAGGGAGGGAAGGAGGCATGTACCATATACATCGCCGATCATTTCTGTGTCCCTGAAGCCGATCAAAAACAAGAAGGCACGAAACCATCACGATCCAGTTTATCTCCGGTAAATGAGAAATTACCAATAAAACAATAGCAGGCGAAACTGAGAAATTAAGCAGCAGCATGCTTCCCATTCACAAAATAAACCAATAGCAGGACTAGTGTCCTCCTGGTAAATCATATGTACTAGAAAAGATTGGAAATAAAAATGTGAAAAGGACCGGCCCTATCAAAGATCCCATGCCTGGAAATTTGGGCTTTGTAGACCATTAAGAACTTGCAGACGAAGCTCGACATTCAATGTTGAATAGAGTAGATGATCCTCATGAGAAAGATTTTTAGCTAATTCACTGGCACTTGGAGCAAAATCTTATATGAAGAATCCATAAAATTATAGCAAAATCAGAAAAATAAATGCATGCTGAAAACAATAGCAAGAAGTAGCAGCAGGTCTCTGCCGCTCAGGAGCACAAATTGAAGAAGTTCAAAACAATATCTCATGTTAGTTGAAAATACAAGCATTTTATTATAGGACAAATACAATCTCATTTGACAAGAGAAACACAAAACAACTTCTCAATCACATGGGACGCTCTCTTGACTTAAAATTATTCAAATTTAGTTCCATGGATGCAGAATTAATTCCAGATACAAGTACAAACAAATAAATTGGAATTGGAAGAAGCAATAAAAAAAGATCGTACCAGGGATCACTCTGTAAAAGCTTCTCTGAAGATCCACTTTGTGTTTAGAGAGATAAGCAGCTTCACCCATATAAGCCAGAATCAAGCAAGCAAGGATAATTAACTGTAGTGAAAGCAATCTGCTCGTGTAAGGACAAACAAGTCAAAAAGGGAAGGAAATTGTTGCCAAAAATCAGCGTGCATGACCTGGACAGGGTTAATATAGATGATCATTAAACAAACAAAACGACTATGTTTCTAATTGTCTTCACGAACATAGCACACAGTCCAAAGAAAGCACCCCAAGAATTTCTTCGTCCTCGTGAAGTCTGGATCTCCCTGAAAACCTACTCGTGTAAATGCCAAAAAACCCAGTCAGAGAGGAAAACTCAGAATAAACAACTCTCGCAGGTTTAGAAAATTATAAGAAAAGTCATAAATCTTGTGTCTATATTACCTTATTTATCACAAACACTTTACTTTGTTTTCTGCCACTAACAATCTTTAAATTATTGTGAATCCTAACTGGAACATGTTTCTTTTCATTGTTTTTTTTAATTATTTTTCTATTTTAATTTTGTTTTTAATATTAAATAATTTAATAATTAAACTTTATGGTTTTATTTCATTTTTATTTTATAGGATTATTCTATTATCATAACTAAATCATACATATCTAGCATTAGATATTTTTTGATTTTTTTCTCAATTTATTTACTACTATTATATTTTTTTTAATTCATGTTATTATATTAATCAAGTTTATTGGCCCTATTTAAATCAATAACTCAAGTCTTATATTTTATTTTTTTATTTTTTATATAAATGCTTGCATTGCTTTAGCATTTTTTTAATGTTTGAAAACAATTGGGTTAGCCAATAGCATTAAGTGGATCACTAATATAGTAATTTTTTAAAAGCAAATGAAATATTTATTTTTTTAATTTTTATTGTATTTTTTTATATAATTTTTCTCAAATTTGTTATTGTTATAGTTTTTTTTTAATAAATGCACGTCTAAAATATCAATTTTTTGTTTTGCTTTTATTTTTTTCTATTAAAAGCTGCTTTAAATATTTTTTAAGAAAAAAATGCTTGTAATAAAAAAAATATCAAAATAAAAGAATGCATTAATAAGGGATAGAGATTTTGATTTAAAATATAGTTTTTATTGCTTATAATTTCTTTGCAATAATCAACATGACTAAAGAAATATTTGTTTATTTAAAAACATATTGATAAAAAAAAGGAATTTATATTAACAATCACTTCTTTTTATATATTTAAATTTTATTTACTCTTCTTATAAAAATTAATTTGTATTGTTATATAATTAAATAATTTTTTTTGAAGAGTTTACTGCATTACAAGATAAAATATTTTGATTTATATCTATCTTTTAACTTTTCATTTTAATTTTTAATAGCACTAACAATTTTTTTGCAATTTATTGATTCATATAACTTTTACTTTATTTTATTAAATACATGCATTAATTTATCAATTTTAAATTATAATTTTTCATGATATCATAAAATACTTTCACAATAATTTTGTATTGTTTTTTATTAGAAATTAACTTGAAATTTTAGCTTTGCTAGTGATATTACAACAGAAAAAGAAAGATATATAGTATAGTCTCTTAAACTACATAAAAGTTCAAGCATACAAATCAAGGAATTTTTATAGGACTGTGGGAAGAAAGATCCTGTAGATGGATTTCGCTCTGCATTTCATCCTGCAAGTAGGGCACTTCTTCTGAACAGCTAGTGCTTTTTTAATGCAGTTCTTGCAGAAAATATGACCACATTTTGTTGATGTTGCGTCTTGTAACTCATCCATACAAATTGGGCAACGAAACGCAGGTGCCGCTAGTGGTGGCACGGCCTGGGACAATCCAGAAACTTGGGCTGGTGGTTCCGTCTGAGAAAATCCAGGGAATTGGGGTGGTGGCATAGTTTGACACAATCCGGGTAATTGGGGTGATGACACAGGCTGGGACAGCAATCCATGGAATTGGAGCACACTCCTAGCCTGCCAAACCAAATAACATTGGTTAGAGTTTAAGTTTTTAATGGTTCCTAGAAGTTTCCAAGTACTTGACAACAAAGTTGAAAGATAGCTAAATTGAGGTTACAGGAAATCGAATATATAGTGAATAACAGCGTGAACCTGATTGACGATATTTATGTTTTCCCTTGTTGCATCAGTATTTCTCCTAGCTTTCTTCCTGGCCTGCTAAGAGGGAGATCATTTTTAAAGACAACCAGATACTCGAAGAACACGAGCCAAATCATTAACATTGTGTCAAGTGTCATACTTGGTCAAACATGCTGGGCGAGATTATAGCAATATCATCATCAATGACCTCAACATCTTGTGTAGTTTGATGTTGTCTAGTCAGTCCATACACTTCAGCTTGAAAATTAAGAGGATGACAAGGAAAGTACATGCGATGGAGAGGCATATTGTTCTGAATCGGAGGTGGATAGTTGAGATCAGAGTGCCGAAAGTAAATTCGCTCGGCTTCCCACAAATCATCTTCCAGACGATCTGTATTCCCCAGTAAATCCATAGGTCTCCGTTGTCCAGAAACACCTTGTTGTCGTCTTAGTTCTCCACAAAAATCATGTTGTTGTCAAAATTCTCCTGTAAATTCATGTTGTGTACTCAAAGACACCTAAAATTCCTGGTTACAAACAAGAAATTAAGGCATGCTGAGAAAAAAAAAACATATTCTGAGTATAATACAACCAAATCTATATCTTATTAATCCCATAGCAGATATCAAACCAACCAGGTAAACTTACGAAATTCCATTGCAAGTATAGTATCATATTTCATAAAGTTATGAAGAATTGTGCAATTTCAAATAACTAACTGAATATTGCATTCCCTGTCCTGTGATGATGAGCAATTGTTTAATAAGAGTTCCGTACTTTAAGCAACTAAAGGCCTCAAGTGAATCTGTGAATTGATTTAATCGCTTCTTCAAGTAAACCAAGAGCCTTTATCCATAAACAACTGCAAGCTATAGATGACGGTTTTATACTGATTCTCAAGAAAAAGGAGAAAAATTGATGGTTTTATGCTGCAGTCGCAAATTTATTCATAGCAGGTATAAAATAAAAGACAAATTTAGAGTATAATATAACTAAAATCAAGAGATACTAAAATAACAGGAGAAATTTCTTCAGATTCCATTATCCTGAGAGCGAACTGATCATATATATATATATATGCATGTTCTAGCCGGAGGTAACATGACGATTTAGAATTAACAGCGCTTGATTGAGTCCTAAGAAACCGTACAGTAGCGTATTGCTTAGCAGCATACATAAACACACGCAAGCCAGTCCAAACAGAAAATTGCATCTCCATAATCATAAAAGAATGCAGAAGTAATAAAGATTTCTTTTTTGTTTGCCGATTCTTCTTGATCATAGAAATCACACCATGAAACATCGTTTTGAACTTGAAAATCATAGTTTTGAAGATATCCTTTACCACATTAAAAAATTAATAAAGGCCTAAGCTAGCAGCAAGCCCCAGTATATAAACCCTACTAATTAATCCCATGGCAGCCAAAAACAAAACATGTAAATTAAGAAGATAAACAAAAATAATGAAGATGGATGATACCTGAGGGTGCAGCTGCTGGACAAACATATTTTGAAAGAAGGGAGACATCATTGACAATGGTTTTTATGCCTCCTGCGAAGGATCAATTTATAGCAAACAAAAACTCTCCGAGCTTTATGACTATTTGGGAAAGAGACTGTGTGCTTCCTTTTTTGTACATTAGTCCATTATATTTTAAGAAAAACTGATCAGCTCGTTCATCGGGAGGTATCTGTACTCTTGAAATAGAATATATATTTTATTTTTTTTTAAGAAGAAATACATGTCACCGTGCCCAGTTGGGTAATATGGGTTTTCTTATTTAATTTTCATGGGCTAAATTTTTCTATACCAAGTACCTTGGAATCAGTGTCCGAACATGTTAACTAGATACATGAATGAATAAATTAAAAAAAAATAGAAAGTATATGTATTAATTTAAAATACAATGAATTTATTAGAAAAATAAAAAATATCATTTACACGTATTTTTACTTTAAACATTAAAAAATAATATATCTTATCCTCGGAGTACTATAGCGAGGAAAAGGTGATGCATATAAAATTCACAAGAATGGTTATAAATATGCCAATGAGAAGAAGATTAGCCAACAAATTACCTAGAGCTGGAAAATGGAACGTGTCATCATGCCAGCTCATATTCTACTGCTTTTTGGCCCAAGATAAGCCCAGGCCCATTTCCTTGTGAGTTCGTACCATATAGTGCTGGTCCAGGTGTCGGCCCGTTGCAATTAATTCTTATGATATTTTTAATGACTTATTTCTTTTAATTAAATGGAAGAAAGGAATAAGAAAATAAAAGAAAGTTAATTACCTCTTTTATTATTGAAAATCTATACATGTACTTGCATTATTAATGGAAATTTTTATCCCTAGCTCATTTTTTGTCTTATCTTTCCTATTTTTATTATTTCTATATTTTTTTGTTACATACAAGATACGTTATCTTAAATATTAATATTGTATTAATATAACAGGAGTGCTTTCTAATTCAACGGACCAAGTTGAGAATGACACAAATAACTTCTAAATTTATTTATTTTTTTTAAGTATTTTAAAAAAAAATTAAAATTTTTTATTTTTTATTTATTTTAAATTAATATATTTTAGTATTTTTAGATTATTTTGATGTGTTAATGTCAAAAATATTTTTTAAAAAATAAAAAAATATCATTTTAATATATTTTCAAGTAAAAAATATTTTAAAAATAACTATAATTATATTTTCTAACATGCTAACACTAATTGTAATCAATAGTGCTCTAATTAATTCGGGTATGAAACATATATATATATAAATTGCAAGATTAAATGATGCAAAAAAAAAAACTAAAAATTTTAATAATCCAATTAAGCGCCTTTTTTTTCTTTCTTTTTTGCTCTTTCTGTAATTGAAAAATATAATTAGAATAAGATTCTGCAATTTTCTTTCCAAAACAAATGAATAAATAAAGAGCCTAGTTGAACAAATAAAATATCCACACACGTGTACAATGATTTATATCTACAAGTCTACTCACTTCATTATTCATTGTTTTCAAAACCATAAGGTTCATTGGCCTTGGATCATCACATAGCAATACTATTTTGTTTCTTGCTTCTTCTTCTTCTTCTTCCCCCCTTTCTATATTTCCAACATTTTCTACATCCATTTAAATATTTTAATTACCAAAACGCCTTTTTACTTGTGTCATTTCCCTCCATATCAATTTTTCTAAATCAAATTAGAATTGAAATCATCTTCTTTTCTTAAAAAAAGAAGAGAGGAGAATGATTTTTAAGTTTTGTTTGTTTGGTATAAAATATTTTTATTTAAAATATTTTACATATAAATATTTTTAATGATGATGATGAGATAATAGTGATGATATAGCAATAGTAATTATAAAATAATAATGATAAAAAAAGAGATAATAATACTAGTGATAGTGTTATAAAGATATGGTTGTAATAAAACTACAATGAAGATGAAAAAGATAATTGCAGTGGTGGTGAGTGAGCAGAAAAAGATGATATGATAATGAAGATGATAATAATAATTAGATGATGGTGTATAAAAAAAAGAAGAAGAAGATAGTTGTGATGTAATGATAAAAATATAGGAATTATTAGTGAAATGATGGTGATAATAAAATAGAGATGATGATTAAAATAATAACATATATTATAAGTAGATTATTATTTATAAAAAAATTTACAAGATTTCATGAGCTAAAAATATTTTTCAATAAATAAAATAAATGAATTAAATTTAAAAATTGATTGTAAAATACTTTCCAAGAAATGATTATAAAATAATCTATAAAAACTTTTCTTATAAAATATTTTAAACCAAAGAACGTACCTTGAACCTGTAACTCTCATGCATTGTGAATCTCGCTACTATCTATAGATTCTAGACAGCATAGGCGGTCCAAATGTACTGAAGGATTGAAACAAAGCATAAGATGTTGACATTTAAGAATGGAAAAAAATAAATAAAAGGGAGAGAAGAATAATCAATGCCAAACAGACCGTTACCATGCAATCAGCATAAATAAGATGGTTTGGACTCAACTGATGTTAGCACTCCAAAGGAGAGCTGTATGAAAAATCAAAAAACATATTATCAAAATAGCAATAATTTATTAATTTTGAGTCTTTAAGAGAATAGTTATATAACATGTTAAAATTATTTTTTTCAAAATAAATAGTCATTCTTGTATTTTTTATAAAAAATACAATAAAAGGAAAATATTAACTTTCTTTTTTCTAATTTTTTTATTCCATTTAAAATACAAAATGACTTCTTAAATTATTATTTTTATTTGAGTAGCATAAAAGGAAAAAAAAAAAGAAGCTAAATTAAACTATTTTAAATGTTATATATTAATAATTTGACTTTTGCCATGAAAATATCCCTTTTGATTTGCAAAAATCTCTTATCCTTCCAATCTTTTCCTTCCTTTTTTTTTTTTTTAAATGCTAATAAACCAAACATATTCTCTCCCTCCCTCCCTATTAAACTGTTTTGCCCTTCGTCTGAACCAGGCACGATGGCCTCTAACGCATGGCGCAAACTCAAAAAAACCCTCAAGTCAAGGCTCTCATTTCTCTCCACCCCCAGGTCCCCCGCCAACCACACAACTGCCACCACCGAAATTCCCCGCGTCACCACCGCTACTCCTCCCCTACTTCCAACAATATCATCATCATCCTCGTTCAGTTCTCGTCTCTCGCGTAGCTTCAGTCTCCACTCTTCTCCAGTAATCATCCCCTCTCTCCCTCTCGTTTTTGCTTTTGTTAGCGTTGACATAATACTATGATTTATTTTTTTAACTGCCCGGTGACCGGAGTTTTTCTCTTTTTACTTGCCGCGTAAAAACTGAGTTTTGTGACTTGGTATTTTTGTGAGTTCGGCATCCATAGCTGAGTTTGAAGTCTGACGACGATGCCCTTGTGTTTCTCTAGTGTTCTAAGTTTTGTTCCTGGTCTGAGTAGGGGTGTTTTGGTAAGAGTGGGTGAAGCTTGCTTAGAAGATCACGTTTCTCATGTGATGCAGTAAATGGACCATTGGAATATCATTGAAGTACCAGCTGCTGGGGGTAGTTGAAATTTGCATTTAATTATTTTGATTGTGGTGCTTGGAAGCTTCACAAAGTCAATGATTTAATTGAATGCGCTGTTTACTAAGATCACAAACCTAACTAAGTAATTAGAGAGTAAATTGTTGTTTTATTTACTGCATGAAAATTAGGAGTGTTTACTAAGATCACAAACCTAACTAAGTAATTAGAGAGTAAATTTTTTTTTTATTAACTGCATGAAAATCAGGACAGTGGCACATGGTATTGTTTATGGTTTGGGGTCAAGTGGGGACGTCAAGGTTAAAATGGTTGTCTTTAAGGCTTGACTTTTTGAGAAGCATGCTATTGTTGCTTTTTTGAAGCTTGAAAGGAACCATTTTTGTTTTGTGTACAATAGGAATACATTAATGAAATCGAATATTGTGTTAGCTTTGCAAGTTTTTGGTTGAAAAGTCAGATCAACACAATAATGTCCTGCGTGTTTCATGATTGTCTTTTAAGTCAAAAGTTTAAAGGTAATTTAATGAAGTTATACTTTTATTTCCAAGTGGTTCAGGCTTGAGATGCTTAGCCTAGCTTGCTTTTTGTTAAATCCAGTGATGCTTAATTAATGAGAAACTTGAAATTCATAGTTTAGGTATAGAAGGTCTCCATTGGCTCATAGATGAATGCTTTTATGAGCCTTTTGAATCTTGATTGTGGTGTTGAAATGCCATAAACTTGATTGCCTACTTGGCTTTTGGTTCTGAACGTCTTTAAATAGTCATCAATGTTCTTGACACGGTGAAGGTAGAAGGATATTGTGAAAAAAACAAATAAACAAATTGTTCCTTGGTTAGCTGGATATTACATAATCAAAATTGAGGAACTTGTGCTGATAAAACAAAAATTGGCATTCATTTGATTTGATGGTCTACATTGGCATAATAGAATTCATGCTGTTAAATTTGCTGAGATTTTTACTCTTTAACTTTTCCTATAATTTTGCTCATTATCGCAGAAAAAATGTGCCATTTGCTTGACGAGTTTGAAAAAAGGGCAAGGCCAAGCCATCTTTTATGCTGAGTGTTCTCACCCTTTCCACTTCAATTGCATTGCTGACAGTGTCAAGCATGGTAATCTCAGATGCCCTGTTTGCCGCTCCAAATGGAAAGATGTACCTTTTCAAGCGCCAAAAAATGTCCCCAGTTTTCAACGCAGTGGTTCATTGCATTCTTATGTACCTAATGCATCTCCAGTTCATATTGAGCCGGATCACTTCTCAGACGATGAACTAGTCCCAGATGTTTCTCAAGGTCAACCCTCTTCATCTCGACCCCATGCTATAACTGTGAAGACTTTACCAGGGTATCCTGCTGTTTCTGCTTCGGAATCTTTCTCTAAGTTTGGTGTTCTTGTCCGTGTTCTCGCTCCTCCACTTGATAATACTCTACATCATCACCGTGCACCAATTGATATTGTAAATGTGTTGGATGTTAGTGGTAGCATGGCAGGCAAGCTGATACTTCTCAAGCGTGCTGTCAACTTTATCATACAAAACTTAGGCCCTTCAGATCGACTTTCG